TATGTATGTATGTATGTATGTGTGTGTGTATGCATGCATGCATGCATGCATGCATGCATGCATGCATGTATGTATGTATGTATGTATGTATGTATGTATGTAGTATGTATGTATGTATGTATGTATGTATGTATGTATGTATGTATGTATGATTGTATATGTATGTATGTATGTCTATCTGTCTGGCTGGCTGGCTGGCTGTATGTATGTATGTATGTATGTAGGTGTGTATGTGTGTATGTATGACTGACTGACTGACTGTCTGTCTGTCTGTCTGTCTGTCTGTCTGTCTGTGTATGTGTATGTATGTATGTATGTATGTATGTAGGTAGGTAGGTAGGTAGGTAGGTAGGTAGGTATGTATGTATGTATGTATGTATGTATGTATGTTTGTATGTAGGTGTGTATGTAGGTATGTAGGTATGTATGTGCGTATGCGTGAATGTAAGTTCGTATGCAGGTATGCATGCATCCATGTACTCATGTATGTACGCATGCATGCATGTCTGTCTGTCTGTATGTATGTCTGTCTGTCTGTCTGTCTGTCTGTATGTTTGTATGAAAGACCGCGTTCTGTGGTCGCTTGGAGGGGGGGGGGGGTTGGAACCGGGCCCCCCCCCTCTCCCCTACTTCTCGTCCCTCCCTCTCCTCGGGCCGGCGCCCGCGTCGGCGGCGGCTGGCGGCGGCGGCTGGGTGCTGGTGGTGGTGATAGTGGCGGTGGTAGTAGTGGTGGTGAGGTGGTTTGTAGTGATTGCGGTGATGGTGGTGGTGGTGGTGGTGGGTTGTGCTGCTGGTAGTAGTGGTGGTTGTGGCGGTGGTGGTGGTGTGGTAGATTTTGGTGGTGGTGGTGGTGGTAGTGGTGATGGGTTGTTGTATTGGTGGTGGTGGTGGTGAGCTGTTGTGGTGGTGGTGGTGGTGGCTGTGGTGGTGGTGGTGGTGGTTATGTGGTGGCTTGGTGGTGATGGTGGTGGCTTGAGGTGGTGATGGTGGTGGTCGTGGTGATGGCGGTGGTGGTGGTGGTGGCGCGGTGGTTGGTGGTGGTGGTGGTGGTGGTGGTGGGCTGTGGTGTTGGTGGTGGTGGTGGTGCTCCTGGTAGTGGTGCTGGCGGTGGTGGTGGGTGGTGGTGGCGGGTGGTGGTGGTGGCGGTGGTGGTTGTGGTGGTGGTGTGGTGGTTTGTGGTGGTGGTGTTGGTGGTGGGTTGTGGTGATGGTGGTGGTGGTGGCGGTGGTGGTGACGGTGGTGGTAATGGTGTGGTGGTTGTGGTTGTGGTGGGTTATGGTGGGTTGTGGTGGTACAGGTGGTGGTGGCGTTTTTGGTGGTGGTGGTGGTGAGGTGGTTTGTGGTGAAGGTGGTGGTTGTGGTGATGGTGGGTTGTGGTGGTTTGTGGTGGTGGTTGTGGTGGTGGCGGTGGCGGTGGTGGTGGTATGGTGGCCTGTGGTGGTGGAGGTGGTGTGGTCTTCGGCTCTTCCCGCCATTGTGTTTTGGCTAGGTGTCAGAGTTCTAATGGGTGCCTCTTGAGGTCTCGTCAGAAGGGTCTCGGGGGCGTCTGAGGAGCATGCGAGGGCTCGATGTGGCGATTTGTGTGTTCCCTCTGCGGCTTCTGGGCCCTCTCTGGTCATCGTCGCTGCGTCCCCGCCGTCGGCGCTGCTGGCCGCCGCCAGCGCCGGCGCGGGCGGCGGCGCCGGGGGGGTGGTTTGAACCCCCCCCCCCTCTCCTCCTGGGCCCTCTCTGGTCATCGTCGCTGCGTTGGCGCTGTGGCGGCCGCCAGCGCCGGCGCCGCTGGCGCCCGGGGGAAGGGGGGGGTTTTTGGACCCCCCCCCTGGGGAGGGGTGGGGGGGTTCGGGACGGGGAGGGTTATGGGGGAGAGGAGTTCCCCTGGTTTTGATCGACGGCGCCGAGTGTTCGGGGGGGGGCCAGGCCCCCGTTTCGAAACGCGACGCCGCATGTTCCCAAGGCAAGCGCCCGTGAAACGCGCTCTCTCGTATGTATGCATGTGTGTCAATTAGATGTGTACAAGCATGCATGCATATGTGTATGTATGTATGTCTGTATGTCTGTATGCCTGTATGTCTGTATGTCTGTATGTCTGTATGTCTGTATGTTTGTATGTCTGTATGTACGCATATACGTATTTACGTGCGCCCCTAAGTATGTATGCATGTATGCAGGCATGTGTGTGTATGTATGCATGCAATGCATGTATGTATGCTATGTATGCATGTGTTGCATGTGTATCTGTATGCATGTATGCATATATGCATGCCTGTACTTACGTATGTGTGTTTATGCACGTATATATGTATGCACCGTATGCGTGTATGCATGTGTGCACGCGTGTATGTAAGTATGTTTCTATGTATGTACGGATGGATGGACGGCTGGATGGATGTATGGAGGGAGGGATGATGGATGGATGGATGGATGGATTGATGGATGGATGGATGGACGGATGGGCGGGCAGATGGATCTCTCTGCCTGTATGTACGTATATAAGTATGTACGTATGTTTGTTTGTTTATTTGTTTCTTGATTGTTTGTAATTTTGTATGCATGCATGCATGCATGTATGCATGTATGCATGTATGCATGTATGCATGTATGCAGGTATGCATGTATGCATGTATGCATGTATGTATGTCTGTATGCCTGTAAGTAAGTAAGTAAGTAAGTAAGTAAGTAAGTATGTATGTATGTATGTATGTATGTATGTATGTATGTTTGTATATATGTATGTATATATGTATGTATGTATGTATGTATGTATGTATGTTTGTAATGCATGTAGCGCATGTAGTGTATGTATGCATGCATGCATGCATGCATGTATGTATGCATGTATGTATGCATGTATGCATGTACGCATGCCTGCATGTATGTACATACGTACGCACGTACGTATGTATGCATGCATGCATGCATGTATGTATGTATGCATGTGTGTGTATGTATGCATGTATATATGTATGTCTGTATGTATGTATGAACGCATGCATGCATGCATGCATGCATGTATGTATGCATGTATGTATGCATGCATGTATGTATGTATGTATATCTGTATGCATATATGCATGTATGTATGTATGTATGTATGTATGTATGTATGTATGTATGTATGTATGTGTGTGTGTATGTATGTATGTATGTATGTATGTATGTATGTATGTATGCATGTATGTATGTATGTATGTAGATATGTAGGTAGATAGGTAGGCAGGCAGGCAGGCAGGCATGCATGCATGCATGCATGCATGCGTGCATGCATGTCTGTGTGCATGTGTGTATGTGTGCATGAACGTATACTTAAAGAAATATATACATGTTTTCTGCATGTGCATGTACTTATACGCAGAGATCTTCGTATAACGGGGGGGCCCGCCCTGGGGCCTAGGGCTACCGAGGCCTTCAGGTCCCAAGCAGCTCCCGAAAGAGGCCGCGAGGGTTCCAAAAAGTCCCCAGGATGCCCCCCACGAGGCACTCAAGAGTCTCCCAGAAGTCAGTAGGGGCCCCCGGGGACCTCACAAGGCGCCCAACAGGCCCTCGAGAGGCGCTCAGTAGGCTCCCAGAAAGCCCGCAGGGGGGTCTACACGGCACCCGAGAGGGCTTATTTTTGCTCCCCTATTTGCGCTCTGTTTCAAGGCCCTCCATGCACCCTCTCGGGTCCGCTGTTGGGCCCCTGTTGGAGCCCGTCGGGCTCGCCTTTGCACAATCTCGGGCCCATCTCGGAGAGCCGCAGGGCCCTGGGGCTCTTTTGGTTGGAAGCCGCATCCAGCCGCCACTTGGCGCCCTGTTGGCGCCCTGTTGGCTTCTCTGGGCTTGTTCGTGCCCTCTTGCTGCATTCCTCGGAGCCGTTTTGGCTTCACCCCTGCAGCTCTTCCTGAGCCCTCTTCGTTCTTCTTCTGGGGCCTTCTCGGGGCGCTTCTTCGGGTCGTCTCGGGTCTTTGATTTGGAGCTTTTTGTAGCCTCATCGATCTGTACGGGGGCACTTCCCTGGCCTTTCTTCGGGCCATTTCGGCGCCATCGCCGAGCCCTTTTGGGACGCCTCTTGCGGCCCTCCTGTGCCCCGTTCTGGGTGCTCCGAGGGGTCCTATATGAGCCCCTTGGGCGGCCCCCCTTTGGGCCCCTCCCGGGCCGCTCTTGGCCCGCCTTGGGGCGTTCCTGGGATCTCCTTGGAAGTCTTTGTCGATATTTCCCTCTGCCCTGCTCGCGTTGTTTACACTAATTTGCCCCCATGATTTAAACTATGTGTGGGTAATTCCTTACGTTGCATGCATGTGCTGGACCTGCATGCAGCTGTGACATTGCCAAGCACTGCGACGTGCTAGAACCCTGTACGCGGCGCTAGCGATGGCCGTCGGCGTCGCCATCGTCACGGGGCGTACTGCGCTGACGTCTTAGCGCTGTACTCGCGAGCAGTCGGACCGAGCTATAAGATCGAGGTCGGTTCCGGAAGCTCTCGAGTATCCTAATGTTCTTCGTTCCTAAGTGATCGAAGCTCTCGAGTTTCCGGAAGATCTCGAGTATCAAGATCGGGTACCCTAATGTTCTTCGTGTCTTCCGGAAGCTCTCGTGTATCCTGGGGAGAGCACCCTTGCATCTTCTGTGTGTGTTGGCCGGCGGAGGGCCTCCTGTTCTTGAAGGATGTTCTTCTGGCCCAGGTCCGATTGCACGGCACGTCTGCGAGGGGCATGGCGACACTATGCTGTTAGCATTTCTCATCACAATTTGCTTGTAGCGGGCCCGCTCGTCTCCGCTGCCAGGTGCTCCCCTCGTGTCTGTGCGCCTCACCGTCCTCGCTCCTGCTCATCGTCCTCCTCGTCTTCCTCACCCCCCGCCCTCCCTCCTCCCTCCTCCCTCCTCCCCCCTCACTCCTCACTTCTCCCTCCTCGCTCCTCCTCGCTCCTCCTCCTCCTCCGCCTTCCCACCATCACCACCACCATCATCACCACAATAATTATCGTCATCATCATCATCGTCACCATCATCATCGTCATCATCACCATCATCAGTATCATCAACATCATCGTAATCAACACCATCATCAACACATCAGCACCATCAAAATCACCAGCATCATCGTCATCATCAGCATAGTCAATCTCACCACCACCATCACCATCACCACCACCATCAGCATCATCATCATCACCACCACAACCGCCTTCATCATCATCGCCACCATCATCATCGTCATCACCATCATCACCGTCACCACCACCATCAACAGCATCATCACCACCACCATCATCATCATCATAATCGTCAGCATCATCATCATCACCACCATCATCAGCATCATCATCATTATCACCATCATCATCATCACCACAGTCATCATCATCAAAATCATCACAATCTCCATCATCATTATCATCATTACCCTCATCGTCGTGCTCATCATGACCACCATCATCGTCATCATCATCATCATTTCCATCATCATCATCATCATCACCATCGTCAACATCATCACCGCCATCATCATCACCAGTACCATCAACATCACCATGGACATCATCAGCAACACCATCATCATCAACAGCATCATCATCTCCAGCATCGTCATCACCATCAGCATCATCACCATCACCATCACCACCATCACCAGCATCATCACCATCACCCCATCATCATCACCATCGTCATCAACATCATCACATTCATCATCATCACCATCATCATCATCATCATCATCATCAGCCACATCACCATTAGCATTATCATCATCAGGATCACCATGATTATCATCATCATCACCATCACCATCATCATTACCGCGATCACCATCACCACCACCATCATCATTATCACTACCATCATCGTCATTACCACCAGCATCATCACCATCACCACCATCATCACCACCATCATCGTCATCGTCATCATCGTCGTCATCATCATCATCTTCGCCATTGCCATCGTCAGCGTCATTGTTATCATCATCATTATTATCATCATCACCATAGCCATCATCGCCATCATCACCACCATCGTCGTCGTCGTCCTCATCGTCTATATCGTCATCGTCATCGTCATCGTCATTGTCATCGTCATCGTCATCGTCATCGTCATTGTCGTCATCATCATCAACATTAACAGCATCGTCATCAACATCATCATCAACATCATCATCAACATCATCACCATCATCGTCATCGTCATCGTCATCGTCATCACCATTAGCATCACCATCACCATCACCATCAACAATAACAGCAACACCATCATGATCAGCTGTCCTCCTTCCCCTTCCCTCCATCCGCTGCAGGTGTTCTTCTCGTGCCTGTGCGCTGTGCTGACCGAGAAGTACCTGAAGCAGTTTAGCAGCATGCCGATCTACATGCAGGCCGCCCAGCCCTCGAGACGCTCGTTGGATTTACCCCCTGACGCGGGCAAGGGAAGATGCCCACCTGGCGGAATACACAGAGGGGCATGTTGGACTGGATTGCCCAGTACCAGTTTCATTGTGGCTTGCTGATTGACGTATACGGCTTTACATTTCAGAAGGGCACGGGGTCCTGGCCAGTCCTTGCTTTACAGCTTGCACCACGAGAAGTATATTCTGCCACCCCTTGCGCAGGCACGGGAAGGAGGGACCGGCAGGAGGAGGAGGAGGAGGAGGAGGAGGAGGAGGAGGAGGAGGAGGAGGAGTTGGACAAGGTAGCAGGATCAGGAGCATGAATCAGACCGAGCACGAGGAAACGCAGGAGAAAAGGGATGTGGACAGCGAGGAGGAACTGGCGGAGAAAGGGGGGGTGGGGAGGGAAGGAGGAATAGAGGAGGAGGAGGAGGCAGAGGAGGAGGATGAGGAGGAGGAGGCAGAGGAGGAGGAGGTCCGTAGCCCCTGGCTCAGGCCGCTCTCCCCAACATCTTGGCTCGATGTGCTTAGCTCATGGTGCCTGATTCTGGTGAGTTCGATGGCTGCGGGAACCGCCCTTGTGTGTGGCGGGAGACAGGGTCTGCTTTTCGCACGGCTGCTAGGAGGCAGCGGCGTGTTAGAGCCGTGCAGGCTGCAGACAATCTTGTGCGCAAGCTCAAGACGGAGTTAGAAGCCACCAAGAAGCGGGTGGAGGCACGCCGGGTGTCCGACGCAGAAGTGATCGGCGAGGCAGTTTCCCTCTCGATTCGTTCGTTGGTGGCTCCAGATTCGTTGGTTAGTATGCTCAGCGATCGCCTCACTAAACTTGGCAAGTCGCTGTTGTTGCATTGGGAGCTCGATGCCCAGCAGGGGCATCACAGCCACAATATGGGCGAGGCTCTGCGGAATGTGGCTCACCTCTTTCAGTTGCCGCCTGGAATGCATAAGCAGTATTTGCTTGTCAAGAAGGATGGCGACAAGGCGAGGCACTCTTCGGTCACGTTGCCAGCTAAACAGGTTCACTTCGGTCAGCAGGCATTGCCAGACAAACCAGTCGTGCCCGAGGTGGTCAAGCCCTTTTTTTCAAGTTGCGAACACATCTTCGCCCAGACTGGACGCACAAGAACGGAGTGGTGTGGCAGCACGGGGCAAGTTGCGGGCAGAAGCTGCCGCTTTCGTCCCGGGTGCTGGGCGCTGGGAGTCGTTACCTGCGAAGCCACTTGTGGAGTTCGGGCAAGGCCTCGTATGCACTTGCGGCGCAACGGTGTTCTCCTATTATAAGACGGCGAAGCACGATGACGTGCAGACGCCGTGGCAGTTTCCGACCAGAGGCGCCCCCCCCGCCCTGGTCGAAGGCTCTGAGGGGGTGGGCGGGGCCAAGAACCCGCCGCTGGACGTGCTGTGTCAGGCTGCCCGTCCTGGTGTGTCGGGAGCCGAGGCCCTAAAAGCTTTGGATGAGATGCACCGTCAGGCCGTATCCCCATTTCTTGCGAGTCGCAACGCTGAGGCTCGACCTTTTGTGCGCCGCAGGGCTGCGATCGACCGCATCATAGAGGTACAGACCCAGCTGAAGCAATGGGAGTGTATCGGAGAGCCTGGACAGAGTAGAGTGCAGGGCTTCGTGAGGCGCCGCCACCAAATCGACAATTTCCCTAGTGCTGAGCGGCGCGCTAGACATGGCTTAGCTGGCTTGGCGCCGCCCAGAGATGATGCCACATGTCCTCAGCAATGATGCCTGGCAGTTGCTTTTCTTGTATTCCTTGCCTGGCATGTGCTCGAGGACCTGGAGGGAGTGGCTTCGGTGGTCTCCCCTCGTTTGAGGGGGGCACGGCCTGGTGGGTAGTGCGGAGCGCTGCCCCAGGTGACGCCGCAGACCTCGGCTCCCAGGGAGTGGCTTCGGTGGTCTCCCCTTGTTTGAGGGGGGCACGGCCTGGCGGGTAGTGCTCAGCGCTGCCCCAGGTGACGCCGCGCACCTGTAGCAGGAGCCCGTCCTCGGATGTTGGTCCGAGGCCCATTGTCTTTTTCCGCTCGAGCAGCCCCTTCGGTCTTGGATTGGTGGGGTGAAGAGAGAGCCACTGGAAAGGAGGACGAGGAGGCGGAGGAGGAGAAGGAGGAGGAGGACCAGGAGGATGAGGAAGTTTTTTTCGTCGCTGCGCTGCTCTGACGCGAACTTTTGCGGTCCTCTCGGCCTAAGGGGCCGAGCAGCCGACGAGCTCGGCACTGGTGAAAACACCGGAAGACGAATATACACGAGTACGCTGACGATCCAGGCCATCGCCCCCGCAGCACTAGGCAAAGAACGACAGGTGCAGGAGACGCGGTGCCTGAAGACGACTTGATCGAAATGGCTGACCACGTTGTTGGCCTCAGCGTCCAGCCAAACCAAATTTAGTTTGGGGTGCCTGCCAGCGAGGATCCGCTTCCAGTAGTTCTGAGCGCTCCGAGGGTGAGCTGGCTGGCCGCAACACTTCTGGCCGAGGTGCCTAACATTTCTCCCTGTCCGGAACGCCTTGCAGCGAAGACAGACGCGCGCGAGGCCCCCGTCAGAACACGACAGGTCGATGCATTTGATGCTCGAGATTCTGAAGCGTGTCCACCTCGAGCTTGTGCTTCTCTTGTGCAAGCCGAATTCTTACGCGGCCACGCCCCCCGACACGCTCTCGGATAGAGATTGCGCTGCCAAACGGACCCGACCTTTCTCCACCGATGAGGTCGTCGGGGGGGCGGGGTCGGGGGCACGGGCTCGACCTTGGCCCTGGTGGCGCTGGACAGATCACGCGTGATCGTTTTCAGATTCTTGGTTTTGCCGATCGGCGCGGGCCTTCGCAGCCCCCCCCCCCACCCCCGCATGGAGTAGCTCTTGGCTGCTTCTGGCGCCTGTTTCGAGCGGGTGGGGTCTCCCCCAGGGGGGGCGCTGCTGCAAACAGACGCATCGAGCAGAGGTCTGGAGCCCTCACACTCAGTCATGATGGCGTCAACAGCCACCAGAGGGGGCTGAGGCCCTCCCTACGGTCCCTCGACCAACAAGGACGGCCGTATGGAGGGCTGCCAACGTACCTCCACAACTCTGACCTTATGACCGTACGGCGCCACTTGCCACCACCCGATTTTCCTCCCCGCCATTCCGCCCAATGTCGAAACGCCGAATAAGAAAACGTTCGCCATGCAGGCCAGCACGGGAGCAGTCTGGCCGCCCGACGACGGACGGCCTCGGCGACCTCGGGGCGCCTCGCAAGCCACTTAGTGTGCTCGGGGCTGGGCCTCTCGTGGGCCAACTTGACTTTTCGTACCCATCGGTCGTTGACATGAAGTACTTCTGGACTCCCAGAAGCCAATCTACTTCAAGCGCCCCCCTACTTCAAGAACCGATGTGTCTTGGGTGTCGTTTGTTATTCTTTGGGCGGGTCTGAACCCAATCCACTTTATCCGCCTTCCTACTTCGTGTTTCTACCTACTTATTCCGACCGGCGTGTATGGGTCCAATTTGGGAGTCGGAGGTCCAAGCGAACAGACTTCTTGTGCTAATTTTCGTATTCTTTGTTTGCCGATCACCGCGGGCCCTCGCCCCCCCCCCGCCCCCCCCCTTCCTGGAGTAGCTCTTGGCTGCTTTGGGCGCCTGTTTCGAGCAGGTGGGGTCTCTCCCATGGGGCGCACGGCTCCAAACAGTGGCATTACGCAGAGGTCCAGAGCCAGACCCCTCCCTCCCCACCATCCCGCCCAATGTCGAAACGCCGAATAAGAAAACGTTCACCTTATAAGAAAAGTGTTCGGACCGAGGTTTGACCCACAAGGCTACTGCAGTCTAACATGACAGGCGCTGTGCCCCGTGTCAGGGGCAACGGCATTCTGGCAGGCGGTAGTGAGGGCAGCAAATTCCCAAGCATGGGCAGAGGTAGGGATGGGGAGAGCGAGGGGGGCGTAGACATGTTCCAACTCATGCCCAGAGTCAGAAACCGACGCGTAGCTTCAGCTCGTCCGAGACAACTCCCTGATCGTAGGTCTTATACACGACCCGTCCATGAACACGCCCCCGGTTAATGTATAGACATCTTGTTCGGATTCGCAATGATGTTTGTAGGTCGGTCCGACATTGCTGGGAGGTGGGAAGAACTCACCAGGATGAGTTGACAGCGCCAGAATGTGCAACACCTTGTCCCCGTCGGACAAGTCGCGCCACTCCTTGGTCTTTAGCTTAAATCTTCTGGGCAGCCAGCTCTCCGTCATATCCTGGAAGGGCACATGCGAGCAGCGCCACAACTGGTGGAAAGTAGTGTCGGGCTCCAGCCCGCGCGCGGCGCACAGCAGGTCGGGCATCTCGTATCCGTGGTTCTGGGCTCGCACTTTGGTCCGCGGGGCTCGACAGACCAAGCCTCTGACGGTCCCCTCCTCGAAGGCCGTGGGCCTCCCGGAGTTGGACTGCCCCAGGACCGCGTCCAGACAAGCACGACATCCCAGGCCCAGCGAGTCCCCGCATGCACCTTCCTGGCGCCCGAGGACCGCAGACCCGAGGAGGCGCCCGAGGAGGGCGGGGGGGTGGGGGGGGCGCTGACGGGAGGAGGACTTCAACCCCCAATATCGTCGATGCGCGTGCTGAGCCCCGACGCCCTCCAGCCGAACGTTCCGCCGAAAGGCGCGGGGCTCCAACAGGGCCATGGATTTTCCTCCAAGGGAGCGAGGGGCCAGAGGAACACCGATGCCCCAGGCCTGGCGCAGCTGAGCCACGGAGAGACTGGACCTAAACGGGCCAACCAGGCTCGACCCAATTTCCTTGCCCCACTGGACAGTGGGGGTGACGGCGCAGTACACCAGGTGGGGTCCATAGCGAGCAACCGCGCCGCCGTGAGGGATCAAACTCCCGCACTGGGTTGCAAGGGTCGCCCGACGGACATTCTTAGGCCGACAAGCTCGTGGTCCGAGGCGCCGTGCACCTCGCACCCGCAGGTTCTGGTAATTAGGCAAGCCCACGTGGCAACCACTTTCTTTGCATGACGGCCCAGAGAAGGGAGCTTCTTCAATTTTCTTCTGGTATAGAATCCTCCTAGCCTTGATCTTGACTCCTCGCTTGCCCACGCGGCGGCCCCGACCCGCAGCCTAGTCATAGTCGCATGGCCGCCCCCCCACCGCGCCCGAGCCAGCACGTACCACCTTAGCAACAGCAGTGTGGGAGGATACCACGACCGCCTGAGACACAGCGATGGCTCAGCTACGATTGCTCTCGATGATTTCCTGAAGACGCAGCTTCGAGCAGATCGTTGGCGACCGCATTCACCGAACGGTTACGCGAGAGGGTGTAGTCATCAATCCAAGCTCTGGGCGAGGCCGATCTTGGCAATCTGAGCCCATCCAGGGCTGCGACAGAACAACTCGGATGAGCGTGGTGGCGAAGCCGCCGCCCGCGACCATGCGACGCCACGCGAGCCAGGCACCTCGATCCTGCCGTGCACGGCCAGACGCCGAGCCGAATAGTAGGCCACGTCGCAAATTCGAGCAATCTGCATGGTTGAGCCTTGCTGCCGGCAGCGCCGAGAGAGGAGATCCAAGTCAACCGACTCGCAGAACCTTAGAAGATCCCATGACGCAGGGCTGGAACACAGTTTGGACCCCGCGGCTTGCTCGCACTCGAAACTCCCTGGCGCCAGACAGTGTCGGCACTGGACGAGAGAGAACCCGTGGCGAATCAAATCGCGGCTGCTTTCTGTCTCGCATTGTCTGGCGAAGTCTTAGGTCGGGCAGGTCCTCCTACAGGCGGATTTTGGAAGACAAACATGAAATACTCAAACCATATTCAAACACCTTCAAACATTATCTCCATATTACTTTTGGACTATTTGTGAGTATTCACCCCTGTAGAGGGACATGCCCGACTTAAGCGTAGCCCTTGCGGGCCCGAGCCCAGAGGCGGTGCATGGAAACGAAGAGCCCGGTGGGGTTTGGCCCCCCTGTCGGGCTAACGAGCATGCTTACCCGCATTTTGTCAGGTGACAGTCCCGAGCGTTCGAAGGCAGCGATTGTTCGAGCGAGGGCGACCAGGGCCTGGTCCGAGAGGTGCTGGAAGTGGCTAACACGGAACCCATCGGCTGACGTAGCAGTACGTTTGTGGAGTGACTTGGAGCCTCTGCGCAGCTGATCGGCAGTGAGTTCAGGCAGCGCCTCCAGGACCTCGAAGGATCCTCCTGGGACTCAGGCTCCGAAACAACTCAACCTTCCGCACTGAGGGTAGTGGAACGACCCCGTGAGCGTGCCGAGCCCCAGACTTGATGTTGGTCCGAAGCCATGTTCGGCCACCGACTGGACCATCGAGACCAAGTCCAGGGTATGCTCAGGTTCTCCACTGATCACCACAGGCTCCTGGCTGTCTCGCACAACCCGCTGGCAACGATGGAGGGGGGAGAGTGCTTCGCCGCGCCAGTCAAACAATTGCACAGCCGTCTGGGACAGGTGGAGGCTAAGAGCAGAGCCATGACGGCCCTGTTTACCTGACCACTGCTTCCCCGTAGGGGCTCCAGCCCCCGGATCTCTGCTATTAGTTTGCGGGCCAAAGGCCTTCCACCAGAAGGGTGTCGAGCAGCAGGCGTCGCAATTCGACGCGTAAAACTAGTGTGCGGAGGGGGGGGTCTCCAACGTGAGTCTCGGCACGCGTGCGCGTGGTGCGTGGGGCCGCAGGCGAGGGGCCCAGCTTGGCCCGCCGGATTCTCTACATGTGCAGATGCGTGTGCGGAGGGGAGGGTCTCCCACATGAGCCTCGGCGCGCGTGCGTGCGGCACGCGCCTTTGCGCGTTTCTGGCCACGGCGGGGCCGCGGGCGAGGGGCCCATCTGAGCCCGCTGGAATTGGACACGTGAAAACACGTGTGCGGAGGGGGGGGTCTCCCACATGAGCCTCGGCGCGCGTGCGTTCGGCGCGTGTTTTTATTTGTTTCTGGTCACGGCGGGGCCGCGAGGGGCCCAACTTAGCCCGCCAGATTCTTCACGCGTACTAATACGTGCGCGGAGGGGGGGGCCGAAGATGCGCCTGGCGCGTGCGCGCGGGGTGCGTATTTTCACATGCCCACGGCTCCCAGGGGGGGGCCGAATTCAGCCCGCAGGATTTTTTACATGTGCAAGTGCGCGTGCGGAGGGGGGTGCCCAACATGCGCCTGGCGCGCGCGCGGGGCACGTACTTTCACGTGTCCACTGCCCCTATTAGACTACGCGTGCGGAGGGGGGTGACCCAACATGAAAATACGTGCGCGGAGAGGAGGGGGCCAACATGCGCCTGGCGCGTGCGCACGGGGCACGTCTTTTCACGTGTCCACAGCCCCCAGGGGGGGACGTGCGCGGGGGGGGGGGTTGGCCCGGCATGCGTCTGGCGCGTGCGCGCGGGGCCTGTGTTCTCACGTGTCCACGGCCAGCGGGGGGCTAGGGGGGAGCCAAGTTGGGCGCGGGGGGAACCAACATGCGCCTGGCGCGTGCGCGCGGGGGACTCAATTTTGGGCGCGCCAGATTCTCCACGTAAAAAGAACAAGCGTGCGCGGAGGGGGAGGGGGGGGCAACACGCGCCTGGCGCATGCGGGCGGGGCATCCATTTTCAGGTGTCCACGGCCCCCATGAAAACACATGTTCGGAGGGGGCGCTCAACGTGATGCGCCTGGCGCGTGCACGCGGGGCATGTGTTTTCACGGGCCCACGGACGCCCCCCAGGGGGCGGATCAAACTTGGGCGCGCGGGGGGGGGGGGGCCAACATGCGGCTGGCGCGTGCGCGCGTGGCGCTCATTTTCACGTGTCCACGCCCCCCCCCCCCAGGGGGACCCAATTTGGGCGCGCCCGAATCCTCACACGTGAAACTGCTCAGGGAAGCGGAGACGGGGTAACAGCAGACGGGGTAACAGGAAACTGCCAGTTCGAGGCAACAAACGCGCACTTTGTTGCAGTGCAGTTTTTTTCGGCTTTCGCGTTCACTGCAGCACCTGCCACGTGTTGCCAGCGTTGGAAATTTCTCGGCTGCTGCACTGCAACTCTTTGTTTTGGGCCCTCTGTTTCCTGGTCTGTGGGGCATGCTTGCAGTTGTTCCGCAGCTCGTTGCAGACAATTTGCAGTGAACTTTCCCGTGTTGCAGAAGAAAGACCGTGCAGTTTTTCGTTCCGGCCGTTGCAGTTTCTCCGTTCGGATCCCATGGTGGGTCTGAGGAGGAGGAGGAGGAAAAGGAGGAGGAGGAAAAGGAGGAGGAAAAGGAGGAGGAGGAGGAGGAGGAGGAGGAGGAGGAGGAGGAGGAGGAGGAGGAGAGAGGAGGAGGAAAAGGAGGAGGAGGAGGAGGAGGAGGAGGAGGAGGAGGAGGAGGCTCTCCTCGCCCCGGGGCCTCCCCCGCGCCGTCCAGGCTGGCACAGGACAGCACCGGGGGCCCCGCCGCGGCCCCCGGGAGGGAGGAGGAGGAGGATGTGGAGGTGTTGCCCCGTTCAGGTGTTGCCCGGCTCAGTCATCCCTGAGCTGCGTGCGCGGAGGGAGGGGATCCAGCATGCGCCCGGCGCGTGCGCGCGCGGCGCGTGCTTTTCTTCATGTGTCCACGGCCCCGAGGGGGGGCCCCACTTGAGCGCGCTGGATTCTTCACAGGTGAAGAGATGTGCGCCTGGGGAGGGGCCCAACTTGGGCCCGCCAGATTCTTGACACGTGCAATCACGCGCGCGGAGGGGGGGCCTACCATGCGCCTGGCGCCTGCGCGCGGGCCACGTTTTTGACGTGTCCACGGCCCCCAGGGGGGTTCACGTGTCCACGGCCTCCAGGGAGGGACCCACCTTGGGCCTGCCAGATTCGTACGTGTGAACATACGTGCGCGGAGGGGGAGGGACCCAACATGCGTCTGGCGCGTGCGCGCGGAGGAGGGGAAGGAGGAGGAGGAGGAGCAGGACAGATCCGTAGCCATTTTGGCTCATGACTTTCCGTAGGCCCCCCGCTCCTTGACCTTGTCCCCAGCCGTACTCTGCGACCCCAGATTCACGGGGCAACGCGGCGGGCAGGGGGGACTTTGGGGAGCGGGGCTTTGGGCTTATGGGCATGGCGCGGGAAAATGCCCGTGGTGGTGTCTGGAAGCGTTCGCGAGCGGAACGCTCAGCTGCTCGGCATGCCGCTCAAGCCAGTGCGGATGTCGCACTGCAACGTCTCAGCGTCGAGAGGGGCGAGCTCAAGAGGAAGCTGGACCACCTGGTGTCGGCCACTGCGATCGCCCTGGACATGCCAGCTGCGGTTGCCGATCGAGTGGTGGCGATGGTCCCTTGCCTCGTCAAACTGGTTGAAGGCATTCAACCAGAGCGCCAGGAGTGCCTACGACGCAATGTTGCCCTGCACGCATTGGCCCCTGGGATGAAGATTTCTTGCGCCAACGGCAAGGCGTTGCGTAAAGCCAAGCACGGGCCCCGTCTCGAGACTTTGCTTCATGCTGAACAGGTCCCTGGCTCTTTCTGCTGGAATGGTGGTGCTACTGTGTTTGTCGCGGGGGCTGCTGCTCATTTTCTTGCAAGGAATGCCGAGACAGGTGTCAGCCTGGAGTCTGGTAGCTTCCATGGCCTTCTTGGCGTGTGGGAGACATTAGTTTGCAGCGCTGCGGTGCCTGCACAGCATCTGTCCGAGGCACCCCGCCCCCCAACGGGTGTAGATGCGAATGACGGGGAGTGCAGGGAAAACAGACGAGCGGAGTTACTGAGGAGCAGAAACCACAGGAGACTGACAGCCATGAGTCGGACGAGGTGTGTTCGGCCGCGTCGCTGCCAGGCCCCCCTGCGGCGGCCGCCGAGGTGGTGTCGAAGGTCACGCAGGATGTTGTTGTAGCCAGCCAAAGGAAGGCCTGTGCGGGGGGACACTGGATGCGCTGGGAGCAGGTTGATGATCACCCTCTGGAAGGCGATTCGTGTGCCGGCCCCATCCCTTTGGGCAATAAGCTATTCCTTTGCAGCGCCGACTTCGACTGTGAAGATCATTATTGCGAAAACTGTGTACACTCAGACCTACGGCGGCCAGAAAACCGACAGCAGTTGATCACTTCTCCTTGGGCTGAATCTGTTTGAGCTTCTCAAGGCCATTTGTTTGCGGTGGGCCTCATGGATACGTCGCGGTGTGCGCAGCATACGGGTTTGTGTTCATGGATTCATCGTGGGGCAGTGCGCAGCCTTGAACGAGTCTTACGGCCAGTCCCTGGAGCTGTACGCCTGACGGTCGGGAGGGGTGCCAGCATGTGGATAACACCCTCTAGAGAGGCAAGAGGCAAGAGGAGCAGGACAGATAGGAGGTAATGTCTGCAGCCGAGTAAAGGGAAAGTGTTGCATGCGCGTCAGAAGAAAGTGTGACTCAAGTTCCTTACCGGGTTCGTGGATCCCTCAAGTTTATGTTGCCACGCCCAGCGCATTGTGGGGATGAGGGCGCAGGAATTTCGACTCCTTGCTGACCAAGGGTATACGGTCATGGTTCCATTCTCAGCGTGTAGTTGTGAATTCGTCTATACGCTAAGTGCTCCACACTTAGCGTGCATCCTGCGTGGTTTTTTCTTCGCGTATATCGGAGGGCTGTGCCACCTGACCCTACTTGTCGTGTGCGCCCCTGCGCTGCTCTGCGTGTCAGCGGCATCGTTTTCGCAGGGCCCGATTCAAGGGAGGAAAAACCACCCGCACCCGATAATCGGCGTTTACTCACTACGTAGCCCCGGGCATTTATTGACAGCCCTGCCCTGTTCGGTTCCTTCTGTGGGTGCGTCTGCTAAACGGCTTCGCGTGTCGGTGTGATTAGTGTGGGGGGGGATTTTCTGCCCTCTACCGAAATCACTTCTTGCATCGGCTGTTAGGCAGAGTCACTGCGCTGGAGAGGAAGCAAAACGGAGCTGCCGTTGAACGAGCGGTGCCACCATGCAGGAGGGGGGGGGAGGAGACAACGAAGCCACGGCCGAAGAGGAGGAGGAAGCGGGCCGGGGCCGCTCAGGGGAAGGGGGCGTTCCCTGGGGCGCGTCTGCCGAAATCGCGCGCTGAGGACAGGGCCGTGGCTGTAGAGTTGCAGCCGGGGACGGTGCCGGCTGCCCAGCCACCCGAGCTGCCAAGCCACGCGACGGGTGCTCGGGGCTCTCCGCCGGCCCTCCGATGAGCGGCGTCCGGCCCGCGGGGCCACGGAGGCTGAGCCTGCCTGCCGCTGCCCGTCGCCGCCCACCAAGCCACCGCGCGCGTGTGCGACTCAGTCTGGCCAGCGCGCGCGTGGAGGCAGCAGTCGCCTGCCGTTGGCACGGGCGCGTGTTAACGAGGTTGCCCCCCCCATGCTCTGCTTCCAGGCGGTGCTCGGTTACCGACGCTGTCTGGCTCAAGACAGCGGACCCTCATCGTGGGGTCGGAAAAAGAACCGCCCACCAAGCCACCCCGCCCCAGCCAGAAGGCCTCAATTTGCCTTCCAGTCCCTTTGGGGGGGGTCGGGGAACAGTGAAAAAACATTGGGGGCCCGTGCCCCCCCGATTCCGACATTCGGGTCTTCGGGTTGGGTTGGGGTGGCTTGGGAGATAGCCACCTCAGGAGAGACAACAAACACAAGCACAAAGAGTCGTCGATTCCCAGGAAACTGTTGGAACGCATGGGAAGTGGGGCGACGAACATGCAGAACATATGGAGCACTACGGGGAATCCTGGGATTTGTGTCTATTACCTTGTGTGCCCCTGGGCCCCTCCATCTACTGCCGTGCTGTGGCAGCTTGACTTGAAATACATCCTCGAGCTTCTTCTCAGCAACGTCGGCCCACGCACGGTGCAAGGTGTCCAAGTTAAACTGAGTCAGATCGGTGCTCCCCAGTCCTGAAACTTTTAAAATCCTGGCGGCCATTTTACCCGCGACCTTCTGATCCTGAGGAGGTTTGGGGCAATATCCCACAGGTCTGGATGTCGGGAGGGGAGGGTGCCGACGGAAGCTGAGGGCCTCGAGGGAATCGAGCTGAGGATGGACAGTGAAGGCAACGGGGTCATGAGTGGCAACCTCCGTATCTCCGATCGTTTCAACGCGACGAATCGCCTGCGCCGACCTGGCACACGCAAGGTAATCGTCATGCGTCTTTACGCAAGCAGCGCTACGGTAGGTTCCTTCAACGCAGTCGGGAAGCACAATGTGGGTTTCGAGCTTAGAAGGGGACGCAGACGCCGCAAGAGTGGGAGGCTCGAGATTAAAGTCGGCGCCTAGGACGAAGGATGCCGAGAGGCTCTTGGCGCGACGCCGTGCGCGCAGGCCAGCTCATACTGACGCAGTAGATGCTGGCCTGGCCATGCGGGTGGACCATGGCCCCCCGCGGCCTTGTGGGGAATGATGGTGGACCCTGAATCGGGAAAGTGGAAACCAAGGTATTGGCGAGCTCACGCCGCGGCCCCCGCAGATGGGCCTCCTCATGGCTCTCTGATTCCAGATTAGAGGTAAGCTTTCTAACCATTTCTCTCTCCAAGCGGTGGTCTTACAGACCCTTTCGGAGGTGATGGGCTTGTGTTCCTGGCGCAGCTCCTCGTGCGCCGAGCGCCCTCCAACAACTGACGAATCTGATTCCAGCTGGTACTGTTCGTAGTCGCAGCCACCGAAACCAGACACTCAGAACTACCAGCACCTTGCTCAATCTGCTCAGACGAATTCTGTGGGGCATCCAACACTAGACAGGAAGATGGGTGTCTGATGTTCCTGATGCTGCAGCCTCTTCTGCTGCTCCTGATGCTGCTTGCCTTAGTCTGAACCCTCGCCGAGCAATGACCTGGTTAGTGCCTGGATCTACTCCGACAACTGCTTCTTACTGTTCTCTCTTTCTTCCCGTTCTGACATGTCTTGGTAGTCACAGGGGCCGAACGTGTTGCCGTCGTCAGGCAGCAGTGCGGACAGCTTGCCCTCCAAGATGTCGGCCGGGCGGAGCGTGGGAGTAGCCCCAGTCAGAGATGGTGATGCCGAGACCGATGGGTGCAGTTCAGCAACAGCTTGTGAGCGCCCTCGATGCGGTCCAGCTCCTGCAGCGTCTCGTCGAGGTCGGATCGACGACGCCAATTTTTCAACTGATCGATTGTCTTCCAGTCATTCGCCATCATCTCCCCGAGGGGCTGTATTTCCTCAAGGCCGCGTCGGCCCTGCTCTGTGGCGCCACGGGTGCCTGCTCCAATGGCGCCAGCTCGGATTGCGTTTGGGAGAGCATGGCGGTGTTGCATGCCTTGGTGTACAGGGCGACGAGCTGCTGAAGGTCTTACTTGGAGTCTTTGACGGTGCCTCCTGCCGACTGGGAAGCCACGACCTTGCCAATGCCAGCTGGGCCGACACATCGACGTGCCTCGTCTTCACCTGATTCTTGGCCGTCGCCACGGTCGTCGGTCACGGGCTGGTTCAACCATGCTCCACAACGCCTTCAACATCTGAAGTACATGGGATTCTTCTTGCACTTGCACTGGTCGCATGCCCATCGTTTGGACATAGTCTGTCCACCAGCGCCGCTAGAGCTACCCACCAGAGAATCATGCCGCCACGCCATCGGATGGACGTCGTGGGAGAATTGGAGCGACACCGAGTCGCGATGGCGCGCTGTCACCCAGCCATTCTGAAGCGTTACAAACAGCAAGTTCAGACCTGAAAGAGGGGGTGGACTGCCTTCACCTCCCCTCTCCTCTCAGCCAGAACGGACGGCTAGGAGGAGG